GGGGGGGGGAGCTAAGCCGCTGACTTAGCCAGAAGTTTACCCATGATGGGCCGAGGCCTGCACAAGGCCCGTAAAGGCACCATCTTTCTCATCGCCATGCCCGGAGCCTCTCTCATGTCGATCGCTCCGCCGTTCACTTTCTCCCAATCGAAGCACTGAATCAGCGATCCCAACGCCAATGCCACAATCCTCTGTCCCAATCCGGCTCCGGGACAAGATCTTCGGCCGTTCCCGAACGGCATTATCCGGTGAACATCCGCTTCTCCGCCGCCGCATCGGTTGCGGAACCTCTCCGGCTCGAACTTCTCCGGGTCGGTCCAGAGCTCCGGGTCCCTGTGTATGGTCCAGGCGTTCACCAGAACGATCGTGTCCCTTGGCACGTCGTACCCTCCGATTTTGATGTTCTCCGTCGGCGATCGAGGGACCAGGAGCGGCGCCGCTGGGTATAGCCGGAATGTCTCCGACACTACGTTTTGGAGGTAAGGGAGGTTGTCGATGTCTGGTTCGTCGATCAGATGGTCTTGTCCGATTTTCTCGTCGATTTCTGATCTTGCCCTGTCCAATGCTTCTGGATGGTTGAGTAGACTGGACATTGCCCATTCTAGGGTCACGGCTGATGTGTCGGTTCCGGCCAGCATCATGCCCTGCATTTCAGAATTTGAGCACAGTGATTCAGCAAAATTTATGTTCGTACCTGAGATTTCGGATTTTTTTTTTGTAATCAGAAACGGATTAGTGAAGTTATTTACCAGCATTAGGCCTTTGATTATGATGTCTGTGTAATACTCCGGTTGCTGTTCTTGCAGAGACAGCAAGTGACTGACCATGGTGTTTCCGTCCTTGTCTTGTCGGCACTCGTCGAGCAGACGCTGTAAGAACTCGTCCATGGCTTCACCAATCGCCTTCACTTTCTTCTCGTACTTATGCCCGAACACTTTCAAGAAAGGCAAGTAATCAGCCGGGTGGCTCGCGCCGCTATTGTCGTTGATCTCAGCCACCAGCTTCTTGAACAGATTCGCCTCTTCCTCGTTATGGATCTCATCCCCGTAGTACGTCTTCCCCGTCACCATTCTCACAATGTTGTTGAACGTGAGGTCCGACAAGAGTGGCTCGAGCTCGACCTGAGCGAACCCACCAACGTTGTCTCGTGACAGCCGAGTCAGCATCCGAAAGATCTCGTCTTTACGGACGTGGAGGAAGTTGGTGAGTCGGTGAGTGGAGAGAATCTCGACGGCGCAGACTCTGCGGAGGTTTCGCCAGTGGTCGCCGTAAGGGGCGGTTCCGACAGTGGTGTAGTTGTAGGCCACGTACTTCGGGGTCAAGAAACGTGGACGGTTGGACAGAACGATATCGTTCTTGCCCGTGAAGCATTCCCTAGCCAGGGCCGAGGAAGATACGACCACGACTCGGCGTGAGCCGAAGCGGAGGGAGAAGATGGGGCCGTACTTGTCGGAGAAGCGGAGGAAGAGGCGATGGACTGGCGGTTTCAAGAGGTGGAGGTGGCCGGCGACGGGGAGAGCCGGCGGTCCAGGCGGGAGATTGAAACGGTGCGTTTTGGAAGTGAATATCAACCTATACGCCAAAAGAAGCAATACAATAGGGAGAATAATCACAAAGTAAACCATTTTTTTAATTTTTTTTTTTTAATAAATTGTTGGTGGTGATGGAAAAAAATGTGAGAGGTGTGTGTTCTTTATATAGGGTTTTTTTAGTATCTACGCGTAAGAAATATAATTTAAAAAACTTCCTCTGCGCATGAACAAGTCTTTCTTGATAAAAAGATTCTATTTTTTTTTTCCTTTCTGAAAGCAACTAGAATGTTGACTGTATTATAATATGTAACCACTTGATATTTCAAGTATACATATGCAGAGGAATTAGCTATGTAACTAATTAGTGGATAACCCACATGTATAACGAAATGGTGTTTATATATATATATATATACATGTGTCAGTGTGTTACAGATTCAAGTGCTCATACATTACACACGGCCAGAGAAGAGGCCATGGTTCATGGTATATAAACATTGGCCACTTCCATGTCATTTTTCTTTGCTTTTTTTTTTCTTATTTTTGGCACGTTGCCTAATCATCCATGATTGTGGAATCGGAATTTATATTTACCAAATATATATATATATATATATATATATGTAAGCATATACAAAATCACTAACGACACAGAGCCAATTAGTTAAAAAAAGAAGGGGGGGGGATATACCAAATTTTCATGTTGGAAACGTGTTATACCAAACTTCAGCATGCATAACTTGTGTAAGGACGGAATGGAGAGCATATCAGCGTTTAGACAGAACGGTCCAAGGAGATCATATCACATCGTTTGTTTGAATAAAGAAAATGATTAATGTATTTATTATTTCAAACACATATTATAATATTACATGCAAATAAATAATTAATAACCTTATAACCGCTTTACTTTTCTTATATTTTGAGATTTACACAAAATATTAAGTTAATATATTTACCCCACCGAATCTCTTGGTGACTTCTTTTGATACAGATTTCGTTGGATTATACAAAGAGCGTATATCATTCACACGTATTAATTTTAAAATGTACGATTCAGTTTCTATTAACTTCTTTTTTAAAACGAATGCAAACGCGACGTCATTAAGCAAGAAAATTAATTACTACAAGTTTTGGTCTGAAATCTTTACAAAATGGAACCCACAAATATTTACTTTAATTTATGATGATCACAAATATACATACATATGTATTTTATATACTTTTGTTATTTTAAGACCACAAGGCAAAGTGGCCTTAATATGATAAAAATCCAAAAAACGTTGATAAAGGGTGAAAATTTTCCACTCTCGACCATTTCAGCAAATTTCCTATTCACTATATACACACACACACACATATATATATATACACGATTAGTTGACAAAGTTCATGTTAGACTTAATGAATGCTATATATATATATATATATATATATATATATGTGTGTGTGTGTGTGTGTGTGAATTGTACTTGAATGAAATATACATATTTTACGTCCAGTCTCTAATTCGTGGAATTGAATTGACCAATTAGTTACAGCATATTATATTTCAATCGTATTTTAGCGTTGAAAAGATCTATGGCCTTCATGCAATCGTTGATCGAGTCGAGATTTAACGAATCAAGGATGAGTTGTAAGCCATCTACTATTATTATTATTATTATTATTATTATTATTATTATTATTATTATTTGACTTGGAAACGTTGGCTACTGTGGATATCTTTGTTTCAGTCTCATGCAATTTAAAAATATTATGAACGATTCTTCTTTTGATTTTAGTATATTTTTAGTATGTGGGCAAACGGTTTCGTTCTTGTGTAAATAAAACTAATAGAAATAATTTTGGAAGATTTCTAATATTTATCTTATTCCTGGTGTTTGAACACGTCACCCAATGTTCAAATCGAATATATGGTATTATCCAATCGATGTACCCTTTTCGTATCTACTCTTAATTTTATTACATTAATCATAACTATTACATGCACACGTGTGCAAGACTTCATCTTCGTGGACCTTATTCGTAGAATCCAGATATGTGCGCATATTATATTATCATTTTTCTGTGGGCACGGTCCAAAGTTCGTGACTTTTTGCCCTGTTATTTGGGCCAGAATTATTTTTCTTAGCCCATTCGTTCATTTAATATCCATTTCATTTTTAATGTTTTTCCCCGTGATAGTCTTTTTTGGACCTTTAATGGACCGGTAACTTCAATTAAATGCTGGAATCCGAACTTTGCAAGATTTCAAAACTTCATGTTTTCTTGTTTTTTTTTTGCTTCGTCGTGAATTTCTTCATCAACCCAAATTCATGCACGTAGTAACGATAGAAGTTTATTATTCACAACCACGACCAAGACCGATTCAACGGTTACACATTAATTTTTTTTCACGTTTCATTACTTGCTGGATTCCAACTGACAAGACAGTGAGACACATCGGTCGGGAACGTACATTCCGTACTTACGATTTATTTTACGGTTTCACAAACCCTAAACAACATCAGAAAACCAAACAAAAAAAGACAAGTGATTAACAAACACAGACAAAGAACAATATATATATATATATATATATATGATTCTCTTCAACGACGTCGTTCAGGGGACCAGTGAGGCAAAGCAGGGCTGAAATGTGAAGATTCAACCCTCGAATCGAGCAGCTCCATGATAGGAGTAAAGCTCACACACCTCGGGACCTTGTACTGATTGATCGAGGCGCCTCTCGAAATGGCGTAGTCCATTAGCTCCTCGAACGTGCCGGCCTTAACCACTCGTATCTCGAGCGGCCCGATCGACTTGTCCGCCACTCGGCTCTGTCGGTACACCGAGTTCAGCGACTCCTCCATCTCCAAGCAGCACCGAGCCATCATCTCATCGTCCGGCGCATTCTTTTGATCTTTGACGAGCAGTTCCCAGTAGATGACGTAATGCCCAGGTATGGTTTTCGTCTCGGCATAGCTTGTGTACTCGATCACACGGGTTTCGTACCCGGCAAGTAACCCCGAGGCGTTTTCCACCGCTTTCTGAAGCTCGGCCTCGTCTGTTTTATCCGACTCTATGCTGAGAAGAACGTTCTTCCTCCGTATGAATTTGAATTGCGGAGCTGAGTTGTGGAAACCGGTGACCTGGAGAATGTCGCCGACTCGGTAACGGTAAAGGCCGGCGAAGGTAGTGATCACGAGCTCGTACTCTTTTCCGACTTCGACATCGGCTAGTTCCACGAGCGCCGCCGGGTCGGTAGAGCCGTCGTGCTCGAAAGGAATGAACTCGAAGTAAGCCATGTTCGGCATGATTGTGTAAGAAACCTCGGTGGGTTTGCACATTGGTTTAAGGTTGATACCGAAATAACTTTCCGATGAAGCGTACATAGTGCAGGCCATCGGCAAGCCACCGCTGTAGAACTCGAGCGTCGGAATGTATTGAGCCATGGCTCCAGTGACGATCACGTCGAGGTACTTCGTGTTGGGCCAGATTTTTGTGATGATGCCTTGCCAACTCTCTTGCGAGCAAACTCGGGTGATTACATCGGCAAGTTCTTGGTCGGGTTTGGTCAAGATCTTGGCCATGCAGTCTCTAATGGCGGGATCGGTGATTTTAGGGTTTAGGGTTCCGGTGGAGATGTCACGGACCAGTTCAAGCCAGTTGTTCTGGAGGAAGCTGATGGCTCGGAGGAGGCCGGAGGCGAAGACGGCTCCGAGCCGGAGGACCTCGTGGCGCATGAGGAGGCCGCAGAGCATCTGAGTGTACATGCTCTGGGACGAGTCAGGACAGAGGATGGCCTCGTTCGGGCTCGTGTAGTTGTTGTACGGGTCGTACGGGCGTTTCTTGAAGTGGTCGCTCTTGTAGTAACTCGTGAGCACCGGACGTGCCGGTAACCCGCCGGGAGTCTTGGTCTCGGCCTTCACGAACAAGAAGTATAGAGCCTTCCCTTTGTCTAACCCCGGAACATATCTGTAATTAAATTTTTTGATTTTTTTTCAAGTTACCTTTAAAAAAATGCTATACTATGTTGGGGTATGAGAAAAGTATATAATCTGTAATACACATAATTATTTTAACGTAACAAAAAACGTAGTTTTTAACTTTTTATGAGTTAATTTATTTTATAAATAAATTCCGAAAGTAGAGAGACAAAAATTATGAGGTAATAAAGTAAAGTTATATTGCTTACAGGTTCATCACGGGCATGAGAAGACTATACAAAAGCTGACGTCGGTCCAAGTCTTCGTCAATTGTCGGCATCAGTTTCCTTTCGCCAGCAGATGTCCCAGAACTGTGCTTACACATACAGATGATATATCACATATATACACATACAAATAAAATTTTAATTTTTTATTATTATAAAGTTTGAATATTTTACCTTGTTAAGAACTCGGAAATGGGGTGAGAAGACAAGATCGGGGACCGATCTCCATTGGCAATACGTTGAATCTCGGGTTTCAGATCCTCGTACGTAACCACGGGGACTTTGGACTTGAACGTTGTCCGGTCGGTCGAGCCATCGAGGTCGAACCGTTTCAGGTACTCGGTCTCCGCGTTACGACTCAGTATCTCCTTCAGGACCGTCTCCTGGACCGGGTCGGTGTTCCGAGACATTTGCTCTATGAACTGGAGAGCCTTCGCGTCTTTCTCACGAGCTGGTGGACTCAGCGGAGACTGCAGAGCCGAATCAACGGCCATGATCGTACGGTTCTCGGATCTAGAAGTGTGTAATCGACGGTCGTAATTGAAAGAGAATTTTATATGTAATGCTATTACAAGCTAAGCACTTGAATGGTGAGGAAAACCTGGGCGAGGGGCGTGGTATTTATAGGGGGGAGGGATGGAGGATGCCACGTAAGCAAAAATCCACGTGGACAATTGTGTGGGCCCGGGAGTACTTTTGGCTAGATATTTTGACCTGATCTTTGTTTGTCGGGGGAGTGTTGGCTCTGACGGTGACAAGAGGACCATCCAACACGTCAGCACTTCGTGGTTTTAACCAGTCATACGGGCCCTACATGTCTCTGCCACGTAAGCATCACTGTTACATTTTCTGTCTTGACCGTAGGATTTGCGTCAGCCGGACCACGCGGCTCTTTTCTTGTGACTCTGCTGGGTCGACGAAAGCGACGGTCAAATGTTATACCGAATATATTTATGCGTAGAGCCCTATTGGTATTAATCGTATTTTAACTTTGTTTAATCATCGTGATTAAGACTTAATTAGTAAATTAATAACAGAGCAGCCGCATCATGCCAGCTGATTATCCATGAAATTTTATAGTTTGTTTAATCCAAGCTAAAGAGCAAAGACTTTTCAAAGAGAGATATTGCATATTAAATTGATGGATTAAACAAACATTACGCTAATTAACAATTTATGCTATTTCATCATCAGTTTGCATGAGGTTTACGTAGGTAAATGTATGTATATACAATATACATATAGTTCTGTATATAACCTTAAACTGCGTTTATTTTAGTTTTTATACACGACACACACACACACACACACACACACACACACATATATATATATATATATATATATATATATGAGAGAGAATACAGGTTCCATAATGTTTCTAATCAGTTCTTATAGAAATTTGAAATTTGAAATCCGAGGGTTATTAAAATAATTACATTGATATTGGGCAAACAAATCCCAAATTTGTATATTAGCGATTACATAAAATTATGGGTTTTCTTTAAAAGGATAAATATTATAGTGTAACGATTCTTAAAAAAATCCGAAATGAGAAAAACCTGCATGTACATTTCAATCGAGGTTCATCGACGCACTGCACACTGCCAACTTGCACCATTAATTCTAGGATTATATATATATATATATGTATGTATTTCGCTCATATTTCTCGCGAATACGGTTCGGAAAACTTTGTCATGTATATATAATGTGTGCTGTCATCAACCTTATCAAAGAACTCGCAGGCGATATGATAAAATTTGCTCTCTTTATTGCCCCATGTCATTAGGAATGCAATTAATTGTACTATATTTTTTTATTTTCTGAAAGTTTATTGGGTTTTTGACCCAACTACGTCTTTAAGAAAATCGAAAAAATTCAGGTGAATATCTTTCTCAAGTAGAGACTCAAACGTAGATTGGAAAAAAAGTTTTACCCCATCTTTACCGATTGAGCCATCCAATCTTGGATTTGTACTAATTGTTATGTATTAAGATTAGATGGGGATTGATAATTAATGCGGTAGATGTGATAAAAGGAGAGGAGATATCTCCGTAGGAAGGTCATGAACTCGTGCCATTTTATCGTTTTTGTACTTGTGAAATCCCCATCGTATATGTATATATATATGTGTATATATAAGAAAACAGAGAAAGTGAAATGGAAAAAAGGTTCGACTTTGATTAAGCAATTACGGGAACAAGTGCTCATAGAAATGGACGCCTCAACCACTTCAGCATCCTCGCTTTTCTAAAGTCCCAAGCACTGTTCCTAAGTATGCGTTGCTTTACCTTGCATGCTCCACTATATATACAACAGTTGCTATTATTTCTTTTAAAACAATACATATATTTATATACAAAATCTATGGTTCATTCCACAGATTTATCATACACAATTGTGTATGTATATATATATATATATATATATATATCCGATTTTAAAATTTTCCATTTGAAAAAAAAAACAAGGGCACAAGCCATTAATCGACTGTTCACGTTTTAATTAAGTTAGCATGCCTCGTGTACTGTATGTATCTAGAAGATGTGAGCCAAGAAATTCCTAAGAAGGATAAGACTTTTGTGGGATTAGATGAAGGGCCACGGAATTGACTTAATTAGGAGGTTAATTATTGCAACGATAATTAATTAGCGATTAACAGTCCACCGGGAAACATTAATCCACTTTGCTTCACAAAGATTACTTTGAATGAAATGATTTTCGTGCGTTATTAAATATAAAATCCTTTTGGGGAAATGTGTTATCCGCATTAAACTTCCTAAAAATATGAAAAAATGTCGTAATATTTACGACCGTATTCATGCACACACCCCTATACTATATTTAGGATGAAATTACTTTATATGAAAATTTCAGAATTTAGGGTGAATTTCACATCAATAGCTCTCGTGATGAATTCTTCTATACGAAAAATGTATTTTCATCTCAAAGACACATATTTGGGCAAGTAAAATAAGTTAAAATTAAAGATTATGGTTAATAATTCTCGATTTATAATCTAAAACAAAAAAGGTCAGCCTCACACGTACTGTTGATTATGGATAACGAGGAAGACCATATTTATATGTTGATTTTTGTTCGACGACACAATAAGTTTGTTGATGGAAAATTAATTAATACGGAATTAGTTAGACTTAGACTTTTTTTCTTCAAAGAGTGAGATTTTCAAAACGTTGAATTGGGTGATGTTTTTGGTAACCATTGAATTCTCATAATCACACCAAATATTTTAAATCATTCGTGGCTCGTTAATTATCCCACAAAACTCAGATAAATATTCATTTTATTATGGTATGAGAATGCATAGGGACAAAAGTTTTTAATTTTATTTTTTTTATAATTCAAAAATTCATCGGACAAAAAATCTAACTACATTTTTCAAAGGATCATAGAAACTCATGTGAATGCTTTATCTAAATGGATATTCGAAGCTGGATTGAAAATTTTCAACTAATTCGAAAGAAAACCATGTTCTTGTTTTTTTTTTTCATATTTATCTTTTTTTTTTACCATTAAAAAAAAAAGATGAAGACAGGGAAATAAAAATGAGCTTGTATGGAGCGACAACAAACAAGGCATGCATGGATTTTCTGAAATAAAAATCAAAGGCATGACGTTTGCATGGGGGTGACGATTAACTATGAAATATTTGGACAAACCACGTGGGGCCCTTTACCATATACTTACGACGTCGAGAAGCCATATACGATTTGGTTTTGAACATCTCAAACATACACGATGTTTATCCAAAGACTTATACCAAAAATAAAATAATAAAAAATTATTAAAGTGTATTATAACATCTAAAATTTTTACACTCACGCCGTTGAACAAAGAAAAAAAAAGGTTATGAAAATGCATTTGAATTTGTATATTAATTGGAACGCTGACTTTGTCAATTTCACGGTCTCATTTTCCATTAACAAGAAGCTAGATTTATTTTGTAGCATTAAATCCCAACACGAACTAATAATATTAAATCCCTAAACTACTGAAATTACCCTTATGGCCTAGAAATAGCAGTGCTATAATCGGTGGTTGAATTTGTAGCTACATTTCACGCAAAATTGTACGAGCGATAGATAATAAATGTGGTTGGCTTGTGACTGAGCAAAAATGGGATAAATATAAACATATATATATATATATAATATACACAATTAATATATATCAATTGGAAAGTTGTAATATTGAAAATTATGTAGAGTAGTTAACTTAAGTTATCTATTATGGAATTATGAAAACGTTACCGTTTAGTATTCAAGAATTACCCATGATGCGGTTTTGATTGAAGCATCAAATACAATGTTTAGAACTCTTAAATCGGATTCAATTCGAAATTTCTGGTATCAATTCTAAAATAAGAACAAGCAATATTTGGGTGCGTATGATCGTATAATGTTTAACAATTCAATTTAGCCAACCTCCAAATGAGTGAGATATAATCTAAAGTTTTTGCATTTGCAAAAAAAAAAAAAAAAGGTGATAGTGGATGCCATAATCGGTCGGCAGGCAAGCTCCTAATTATATGCGCACAATTGCATGTGATATGAATTTCACTCAGCTCAAAGAAGAGACACACTTTCCATTGACATGTCACTCAATTTTTACCGAATTCAGGAGACTTTATATTCGTTTTTTCGACCGTTCCAGCTTTGCATGCAGTAAATGACGCAACACACGAGAAAGACAAGCATCAGTTTATGGGCAAACATAGTCACTGTCTTTCTTTATGGATGTCTTGTCATTTCTATCATTTGTTATCAACTTTGTGTCCACACATCACCTATATATATATATATATATATTTGCTATACATATCACAGCCATAAATATATACGTATACGTTTGAGTGTATGTATATATATAACTGTTCTTCGGACGTTCTCAATCAACCTCAAAACGTGGTTATGTTAAGTGTATAATCTGAATCTGTTTGCAATTGATGTAAAAAAAATAAAAAATACGAGCATCCAACCTTTTGAAAATATTGTTTTTTACTATTTGAAATTAAAATTTTTGCTAAGAAAAACGACGGTGGTTTGAAGAGTTTTGCCAAGAAAAGTTTTGCGAGTTCAACAAAAGAGTCCTAACCAAAGATAGGGTTTTGATTATTTTGAACCAAAATTAATAAACATGATGATATCAAATGTTCTTGCCATTTAATTATATGACGACGATAGAAAATGTCAAAAAGATTATTACGATACATGCAAGTCAAGACGGGCATTTGCAAATACGTACACGAAACCACTACGGCATGGGGTGGGTTAGTTGAAAACTCTAAGCTACGAATCGCGTATCAATATGCAATATCATCATGCCTCCCTTTCTTAAACTAGGGACATTAATATTCTTTCATCTTCATAATAAAGATTTTTCACTGCCAAAACCCTAGCGACATATCTCTATCAGTCCGTGACATATAGACCTTGGATTCCAGACAATGCGAATTATAATTTTATTTTCTGCAGATTTGGGGGTTGAAAAAATAATTAATTCACGATTCTTTATGATCGCCGGCCAAATTAGTCTTATAAGGTATAGTAGGTATGAAATTTAGTTACAAACAATATACATATACATATATATATATATAAATTGTTTAATTGGCTGTTTAATGAATTTTGTAGGAAGAGGATTAAGTTTGGGTGCGTTTAGGACAAAATTGAGAAAAAGCCTCAAAACTATTCAGATCTATCGCTTTCGCTGTCGGGGAGAAATGGCCCAAGAAAAAAAGTCTCTTTTGTTCAGAGAGACGTCTAGTTTCAATGTTCATCTGTTTCTTATCCGCACGTGCGTTTTTTTGCACACACGTACGTACTTCATGTGTGTTTTTATGTCTTTTTTTTTCTTCATAAGATTAAATCAATCTTTAATAATTTATTCATATATATATATATATTATTCTCCAAAGCCTCGGTTTGTTCCATGCAATTAAATTAGTGTAATAGTTTATTAGGTCTACACAGTTTCTACGACATTCACGCGAGAATCCAACGTTTTTCGTAAAGTCTACTTGCAAGGAACCAAAAAACAATTGGCATTTAGTATATTCGAATTAGTCAGCGATGTTCAAATGCAAAACGGTCACAGACAGCCACCCGTAGCTAATATATTAAACGTTTTTCTTCAAGGGGCTAAATTCTTCAATTATATTATAGCAAAATTCATTTCGATTAATACAACTAAATATAAAACGTGGATGTCACCAATTTCAATTGTTTGTATAGACGACGACGACGACAAAAAAGAGAGAGAGAGAGAGAGAGAATCTTATACAGAAGTTGACGGGAACATCACATGGCTATGGTTGGAGCCGGACATGGACACCATAGCTTTAACTCTGAGGACGCAATAAATATGTTTCCTTCTTACATCTCTGTCTCTTTTCCTTTTTTTTTTTTCTCTTTTAAAAACCCTAATAGTAAAACATGAAAATCTTTATATTCTCTCCCTCGTTTTTTTTTTTAAATTTTTGGGTGAAATATTATAGAGATAAAAATGAAAAGATTCGAAGTGGGTTTTTCGATTTTGTCTGGGCTCTTCGATCTCTCTGTCCCGACCAAATCTTCTTGTTTCCGTAGCCTCTTAAAATTCCCCATTGCTATAATTATTTTTTATTGCTAAATTGTTACAAATGTGTAGTCTATTAGGAACAATTTGTGTATTTAATTTTATTGGTATCATGAGTGTGAGAGAAAGGGATGAGCTATTTGTTTAGTTCATTGGCTTTAGCTCTATATTTTATAGTATTCGGTCTTCAATCATTTGAAATTCACGATATGTGTATATATGTATATGTATATGTGCCATTCACAAAAAGGTGTTTTTTTAAAAAAAAAAATGCAATAAATGGAAATGGCTTTTGGAATTCCGATTCCATCTTCACCAACCTTTTAATTAGTTTTATAATGGTGATTCCATTTTAAAGTAGACAGTGCAATATATTATATATAATATAATATATAACATTTGGCGCCCCCTTGTGTCTCTCTATTTTTTATTTGCAAAATAAAATATTCATAACGATAGGATTTGTGTTAGAGCTGATTTTTTTAAAAAAGTCTGGATATATATGCGATTCTGTATGTAATAAAAACAACAAAGAACAGGACAAAGTCGTTAAAGACTGATACAAACACATATGTATGTATGTATATATATAAATATATATATGTATGTATGTATTTATATATTGAAAACAGACAAAGGAATTGGACCCAAGCATCGTGTAAGATGGGCTTGATAACGTTTACGAAATGGTCCAAACCCAGTATTTATAAGAAATAGTGGACCGAACTTTCTATAAACCCATATTTATGGACAAAAGTTTATTGGGCATTTCTCTTGTAAGGAACATCACACATATATAAAATTATACGTTTAACAAAAAAAAAAAAAAAGATTATTGGGCCTTGGGCTAATTGTGTTCGATCGAGCCACACTAATTAATCTTCACGTTTAAGTCATTAAATTTGTGAACTTTTAGTTTGATACAAATTCTTCAGCTTCACCTATATATATTAAATTCTGATTTTCTTTTAAGTTATAACTTATTAAATAACCCTAAATCTACACGCAAAAAACACTTTAAACTCATTAAAAAAATTGACTGATATATTTAGAATTAATGGTTAAAATTCGAAAATTTGTGATTTTGAAAAAATCATAGAAAAACTATTATTTATTTAGATATCATATAGTCATAATTTTCATACTATGTACAAAAAAACGTTAGAATCTTTATTACATGGATATCTGAAAATTATAGTTACTATTAATATCATATTTCAATACTTTTTTTTGGTAAAGAAAATTTCATTACATAATAATCCATTCCATTGTTTCTCAACGAAGATTAAATTAAATACATCACCCAACTAATCTGTAACAGAATACGATGTAGACATTTTTTGGCCATTAATTTTTGGACCGTCATTTGCCTAATCAATTTAAAACCCGCACTATGAACCAGCCATCCACTAAAACATCTCCACTACGTGTCCAACTCGAACGCCATCCACAGAAATGGAAAGCCAAACCCTCATTCTCTCCCTCCTCGTTCTCTTCCTCTCCGCCGGAATATTCTTCCACCGGCGGCGGAAGAACCGTCAGCTGAATCTGCCGCCGTCGCCGGCGAGATCTCTGCCGGTGATCGGACACCTCCGCCTCCTGAAGCCGCCGATCCACCGGACATTCCTCCGCCTCTCCGAATCCCTCGGCGGAGCTCCGATATTCTCCCTCCGCCTCGGCAACCGCCTTGTCTTCGTCGTCTCGTCCGCTTCCATCGTGGAAGAATGCTTCACCAAGAACGACGTCGTCTTGGCGAATCGGCCGAAGTTCATATTGAGCAAACATGTCGGCTACGACAGCACGACTATGGTCGGAGCTTCGTACGGAGATCACTGGCGGAATCTCCGCCGTATCGGTGCCGTAGAGATTTTTTCTTCTCACAGACTCAGTGGCTTCTTGTCCGTTCGTAAGGACGAGATCCGACGGCTCATATTGCGTCTCTCCAAGAACTCTTCACACGTACGTTTTTTTTTTTGTCTCTTCTTTATGATTGACCAGCTACAGAAATTGTTCTAGACTTGGATTTCTAATTTTTTTTCAAGATAAATTTCATTGGAAAATCTTGAATAATCTCGAACTTCATACTTAAATTTACAGAGGCACAATTCTGAACTTTACAAATTCTTTTATTTTAGTGATGGGACAATTTTCAACATTACAAGTGCTTTATCAGCTTTATGAATTTAATATTGTTAATATATATGAAATAGTACAAAAAGTGTATTGGATTTAATTATATGATGTGATAATGTGATTAGGGATGTCAATATATGGGTGGGTTGGCTTATGCGGGCTGATCCGACCCAACCCAACCCGATTATTGATCCAAATGGGTTAACCCATTTAAGTAACTTTTTTAAATGGATTAAATGGGGTTTAACCCATTAAACCCATGAATTAAATGGATTAAGCCATTAAACCTATTAAACCCACTATATCATCAACATAAACTCATTAAACTCTTTACATATATGTAACTAAAACTATTATATATAACTATCTAAATAGTAATATATGTATATCTATATACATATAAATATATGCATGTCGCATATATATGCGAACCAAAAATATGATATCAAATCGAAATGTTTGGGTACCGTTTTCAAAACGAATCGAAAAACTTGGTACAGTTTCAAAACGACCGAAAAACTCGGTACCGTTTCCGAAACGAACCGAAAAAATCGGTACCGTTTTTGAATCGAACAGAAAAACTCGGTACCGTTTTCGAACCGAAGAAAAAAATGATACCGTTTTCGAACCGAACCGAAAAAATCAAACTCGTTTCCGAATCAAACCAGAAAACTCGGTACCGTTTTTTGAAACGAACAAAAAAAAAATCGGTATTGTTTTCGAAACGAACCGAAAAACTCGGTACCGTTTTCGAAATGAACCGAAAAAATCGATACCGTTTTCGAACCGAATCGAAAAAATCGATATCGTTTCCAAATTGAATCGTTCAAAAATTTGAATGGTAACATTTCTAAATAATTAAATCGAATCGTACCGAATTTTTAAAAAATCCAACAAAATCAAAAAAATATCTTAAGAAAATATATATTTTTCTTAGTGAAATTCGAAATATAATATAATATAATTACCGATTAGTATATATTTTTATAGAATCGAATTTTTAAATGTCCACTCTTATTTTATATATGTATATATGTTTATAACTATATATGTATATAAATAGTATGTAAATGAGTTAAACGGGTTTAATGGATTGACCCAATCCAACCCATTATTATCATTAGATCGATCCAACAGAACCCATTAATTCTATGGAATCAAATGGATTGAGCCCGAATGGGTTGGGTTTACCCATTTGACATCACTAAATGTGATGGGGTTTCCGGTACTCACAATATATTTACCTGCATGAAACACTTCCATGTAACAAACATTTTTTTTTTCTAGAACCGACCAGAAAAGAAAAAAACATTTTTATTCCTATTTAAAGCATTCTTATTCTTTGTATAATCTTCAAATAATCATAACATTATTTCATATCTAGATACAATTTGCTTGAATTAGTTTCTGAATTTCAATGGTTATAAAAGCAGGGGTTTGCAAAGGTGGAGATGAAATCCAAGTTGGCCGACTTGGCATTTAACAATGTCATCAGGATGGTGGCCGGAAAACGTTACTACGGCGATGAAGATGAGGAAGACGAGGAGGCCAAACGTGTCAGACATATCATTTCCGAGGTTCTAGAAAGGGCCGGCGCCGGAAACCCGGCCGACTATTTTCCCTTCTTGCGTTGGGTCACCAATTTCGAGAAACGGATCATGAGGTTAGGAGATCGGTCTGACAAGTTATGTCAGGGACTGATCGACGAGAAACGAGCGAATAAGGAGAAGGGCAACACGATGATCGATCACTTGCTTTCTCTGCAAGAAACGGAACCCGAATACTACACTGATCGCATCATCAAAGGAATCATCTTCGTAAGTATCAAGAAAATGCGAATTTAGTAAACCCTAGTATATATATAATTCTTTTGGATCAAGCTTTCTCGTTTCACCGTTTTAGGGTTTGGTTGGAAAACTCTTTCGTTTTTAGTTTCTTTGCTCTAATAGGGTTTGCTTATGGTAACGAGGGTCGTAACTCTTTCTCAATGATCTAAATCGTATAGGCTTTGGTAGTGGCCGGGACCGACACATCAGCAGTGACGTTGGAATGGGCTCTATCGAACCTTGTGAACCATCCCGAGGTATTGAAGAAGGCGAGAGACGAAATCGATAGCAAAGTCGGTCTGGACCGGGTCATAGACGAACCGGACATCTCTAACCTGCCTTACCTCCAAAGCATCGTGAACGAAACACTTCGTCTCCATCCAGCGGTACCAATGCTACTTCCTCACATGTCGTCGGAAGATTGCAAGATAGCGGGTTACGATATGCCACGTGGCACGATGTTACTGACGAACATGTGGGCGATACATAGAGATCCCAGACTATGGGAAGATCCGGCGAGTTTTAAGCCGGAGAGGTTCGAGAAGGAAGGAGAGGCCGAGAAGCTAATGCCGTTTGGAATCGGACGAAGGGCTTGCCCAGGTTCAGGACTGGCTCAGCGGCTAGTGACCCTGGCTCTCGGATCTTTGATTCAGTGTTTCGAGTGGGAGAGGATTGGTGAAGAACCGGTGGATATGGCCGAAGACAAAGGATTAACCATGCCCAAATTGATACCGTTGCATGTCTTGTGCAAATCTCGTGCCATTGCTCGTAAAGTTCTCGAAGAGACCATTTGAATGCATGTCCATTAGGGTTCATGCACGTTCTCTTGTTTTAAAAAAACAAAACAAAATTTTCTCGTGTTTTGGCAATTACTGTAAAATCAATGAAAAGCCATGTGTTAGCGTTAACTTATACGTAGTAGTAATAATGACTTGGTTTCTGTCATTCTTGTCTTGTCCTCGGTCAACACAAATCCTTTGACTTTTCAAACCAAAACTATATTGCCCTCATGGCGTATTTGCTGAGCCTTGCCTTTCCTACATGACATTAAGAGATGAAAAAGGAAGGTTTTTTTTTCATAATTAGTAATTATTGCTCTATTGAAAGACAACATTTTCAATTAATCCTTCCTAATTTTTGGTGGGCCATTACTTAAACTATTTATATTGCTCAAAGTTAAATACGACAACAAAAATCATCGGTCTAATTGAAATTGGAAATTATTAGTATTATTTTTTTTGCCTAATTATTTAAGTACCAAAACCCACACACAATCTATCGCCCGCATAAACAGAAGAACGAGATGGAAGCCCGTACCCTCTTTTCCTCGATTTCGTCAATACTCTTCGATCTCCGGTCATATCTTTTTGTTTTTTGTGTTATCTTAATATCACCACGTGCTACAATTATTTTCTACCGGCTATTCTATATAAATAATAAGTGCGTGGCCCCTTGGAAATATTTCATGTATTTTTAATTTTTTTTAGGTATCATTAATGTAGGATAAATGGATGAGCTATTTGTTTAGTTTACGTGTGACTTTAGCTTTATTTGGTCTGCAACCATTCGCGAAAGGCGTTAATTTTTTCAATGTAATAAATGGAAACTGCTTTTGGAATGCTGATTCCATCTTCACCAACCTTTAATTACTTTTATGATTGGTGATTCCGTTTTAAATTAGGCAGTACATATAACATTTGTGCACCGTTGCATAGGTTTTATATTATATTATATTATATTATATATATATATGCAATTGTGTAATAAAAACAGTGTAACATTTCACACAAAAAAACAGTAAATAACCGGACATAAAGTAAAGTTTGTTGAAAATAAAATGAATATTATGATAGTAAAAGCAATAATAATAACAAGAGAGAGAGAATGGAGAGAGAAGTGATGAAGTGAGAGTAAACCTTATGAGGTTTTTGTGTGTAACATTAACAAGGAGGTGTACTACATATTTATAGGAAAGGAGAGGTAACTCCTTCATCATTAAGGAGTTAATCTTATTGGACAATTAGAAGGTCCACATATTTATAATACTCCCCCTTGGACCTCTAATAATTATACATAAGATATTTATAATTTAGACTGCCTCATTAAAAACCTTATCATAGAAAAACCCTGTGGGATAAAAACCATGACGAGGAAAAAAGAGTACAGTCGTACAAAACTCCCCCTTGAATATGAGTTCCTTCATAATCTTTGAAGATGACGCATTCCAATATTCTGGACGTGCTTCCTGAATGTTGAAGTAGGAAGTGCCTTTGTGAACAAATCAGCTACATTGTCACTTGATCGGATATAACGAATATCAACTTCTTTATTCTTTTCGAGCTCTTGAGTATAAGAAAAAAACTTCGGAGGGATATGCTTCGTTCGGTCACTTTTTATGTATCCCTCTTTGGTTTGGGCAACACATGCAGCATTATCTTCAAATAATATTGTTGGATCGATATTAGTGGATAACCCGCAAGTTTCTTGTATATGACGCGTTATAGCTCTAAGCCATACGCATTCTCTACTTGCCTCATGGAGCGCAATGACTTCTGCATGATTTGAAGATGTCGCAACCAATGTTTGTTTTTGAGAACGCCATGATATTGCAGTACCTCCAATTGTGAACACATATCCAGTTTGTGATCGAGCTTTGTGAGGGTCTGATTGGAAATGAATTACCGTCATTCTTGGAACGAATACATGGTGATATATGCGGACCAATTCATCCACCCAGTGGACCATTTCGATATTTTATGGTCTTGATAGATGCATCAAGTAGATGGTCATATGTTTGTCTATTATCAACCCGCAATGTTGCCTTTGCGAGGTTTCTTGCTCAAATAACCAAATTACGAGCTCAATTCTCATTCCTTCAGGAACTTTCATGTATATCTCATTTTCTAACGATCCATATAAATATGCCGTAACGACATCCATGAGATACATTTCTAGATTTTTGGAAGTTGCTAGACTTATCAAATATCTGAACGTAATCGCGTCCATGACTGGAGAATATGTTTCTTCGTAATCTATTCCAGGTCTTTGAGAGAACCCTTGTGCGACAAGACGAGCTTTATATCTTGTGATTTTATTATTCTCATTTCTCTTTCGCACAAAAACCCATTTGCATCCAACTGGCTTAACGTCATCGGGGGTTATAACAATAGGACCGAATACATTTCTTTTGTTCAAAGAGTCTAATTCTACTTGTATAGCTTCTTTCCATTTTATCCAATCATGTCTCTTTTGACATTCAGATACCGATATTGGTTCTGGATCCTCATTATCATGTTCAATTTCTTTGGATACAGAAAAAGAGAATACTCCATCAGTGTCATCCACCTCAGTTCGGATAAACATTTTTCCATGATGGTTGTAGTTAATAGAAATCTCATTATTTTCTGTATTCTCACGATTATTTTCATCATTTTGATGTTCGATATCTTTTTCCTCATTTGATTCTTTTGGGGAAATCTGAGGGCTATTATCAATTTCACTTTTCTTTCTTTTCCGTGGATTTTTATCTTTAGAGCCGATTGGTCTTCCACGTTTCAATTGTATCGTAGACTCATTAGCAATTCTTTTATCTTTCTGATCCTTTGGTATTTCTATTCGAGCGGGTGTATTTTCAGCTGGAATGTACGATTTTGTCACTCGTGTTGTATCTGTGAACCCATCTGGTAATCGATTCGCTATATTTTGCAAGTGTACGAGTTTTTGCACTTCAATGTCACATTGCTTTGTAGGGGGGTCAAGATATAATAATGATTTTGTTTTCCACATTAAATCATATCGAACATCAAAATGATGAAAATAATCGTGAGAATACAGAAAATAATGAGATTTCTATTAACTACAACCATCATGGAAAAATGTTTATCCGAACTGAGGTGGATGACACTGATGGAGTATTCTCTTTTTCTGTATCCAAAGAAATTGAACATGATAATGAGGATCCAGAACCAATATCGGTATCTGAATGTCAAAGGAGACATGATTGGATAAAATGGAAAGAAGCTATACAAGTAGAATTAGACTCTTTGAACAAAAGAAATGTATTCGGTCCTATTGTTATAACCCCCGATGACGTTAAGCCAGTTGGATGCAAATGGGTTTTTGTGCGAAAGAGAAATGAGAATAATAAAATCACAAGATATAAAGCTCGTCTTGTCGCACAAGGGTTCTCTCAAAGACCTGGAATAGATTACGAAGAAACATATTCTCCAGTCATGGACGCGATTACGTTCAGATATTTGATAAGTCTAGCAACTTCCAAAAATCTAGAAATGTATCTCATGGATGTCGTTACGGCATATTTATATGGATCGTTAGAAAATGAGATATACATGAAAGTTCCTGAAGGAATGAGAATAACAGAAACAATAAATTCAAAGCCAAATGGAACATACGCGATCAAATTACAACGATCCTTATATGGGTTAAAACAGTCTGGTCGTATGTGGTATAATCGACTAAGTGAATGTTTGTTGAAAAAGGGATATGTTAATAGTCCTATTTGCCCTTGTGTATTTATCCAGAAAACAAATAATGGTTTTGTGATTATAGCAGTATATGTGGATGATCTAAATATTATCGGGACCTCCAAAGAAATTGAAAACGCTCGTAATTATTTGAAAGGAGAGTTTGAGATGAAAGACTTGGGGAAAACCAATTTTTGTCTTGGATTACAGATAGAACATCTTCCAAGTGGAATATTTGTTCATCAGTCCAATTATACCAAGAAAATCCTGAAACGTTTTAACATGGACAAATCGAATCCCCTAAGTACTCCGATGGTTTGCAGATCCCTAAATATTGAGAAAGATCCATTCCGCCCTTGCGAAAACAACGCGGAGGTACTCAGTCCTGAAGTACCGTATATGAGCGCGATAGGAGCTTTATTGTATCTTGCTAATTGTACTCGACCCGATATAGCATTTGCTACTAATCTTTTAGCGAGATACAGTTCGTCTCCAACAAGGCGACACTGGACTGGGATCAAACATATCTTTCGTTATTTACGGGGAACGATTGATTTGGGATTATTCTATCCAAGAGATTCTTCACTTGAATTAATTGGTTTTGCAGATGCAGGCTATCTGTCAGACCCTCACAAAGCTCGATCACAAACTGGATATGTGTTCACAATTGGAGGTACTGCAATATCATGGCGTTCTCAAAAACAAACATTGGTTGCGACATCTTCAAATCATGCAGAAGTCATTGCGCTCCATGAGGCAAGTAGAGAATGTGTATGGCTTAGAGCTATAACGCGTCATATACAAGAAACTTGCGGGTTATCCACTAATATCGATCCAACAATATTATTTGAAGATAATGCTGCATGTGTTGCCCAAACCAAAGAGGGATACATAAAAAGTGACCGAACGAAGCATATCCCTCCGAAGTTTTTTTCTTATACTCAAGAGCTCGAAAAGAATAAAGAAGTTGATATTCGTTATATCCGATCAAGTGACAATGTAGCTGATTTGTTCACAAAGGCACTTCCTACTTCTTGGTTCTCCGTTTTTGCTCAGAAAAAATGGGAGGGTCGCCCTACCATGAGGAAGGGCCGCCTGAAAATTGCATGACTCACTTGAGCTGACAGGGCGCTCGCCCTTATGTGTGAGCGGGTCGCCCATTTTTTCTGTAAAACTTCCTGATTGCCCCATTTTCAG